CTAACAAGATTTTCCTTACAACTGGAGCCGCACCCACAGTCCTAGCCCCCTGTGGCTTCTGTCTTGAATGTGCCATCTGCTGCCTGAGGAGACCTAGACTCCCTGGGTCACACTCAGAGCAAACAAGGGACTTCTGCCCTTGTGTGTTTTTTTGGGTAAATATAGCTTTGACTTCCATTTGAAGTATGGACCACATTCACTTCAAACAAATGGCTTCTCCCTTGAGTGTTTCCTCTGGTGCTGGAGGTAGTTTGGGTTCTGATTCAAAAAAAGAGGAGTGACTTCTGGGCATAGCCTCCACCACACTCACTGCAAACAAAATGCTTCTCTCCTGACTGTCTTTTTAATTTTCATTGTGAATTGAGTAAGGTTAACAGAGGTCATCAGCTTTACATTAAAACATGGCACACTATTTCAGCTCAATGATTTACAATTCCCTCCCTGCAATAACAGTTATCATATTACCTCCCTGTGGTTTCCTGTTGACATCTTATATTTCACAATGAACAAAGGAAAAATATGATATTTACATACAAAAGGAGAAATATATATTCATTTCAATGTCCTAAGGGCATTTTCTGCAAGCCAGCCTCCTCCCCGCAGGCGCACAGACTTGCTCAGTCCGTGGGTCTAGAGCCTGTCCGTGCTCTGTGTCTCCACGCCATCATCTCTGCTGTTGCCACTTTTCTAGGCAGAACCCTCCAGCTCCAGTCATGCTCTTCCTTCTTGGTGGTCCTGGGATCCTCCGTTCCTGAAATGAAAGATTCACTACTCCCCCTTTTAGTCACACATCTACAAATAGTGTGACAGTTAATCCTGCTAACAATTACTTACCATTGAATCATAAAACCCTATCTGCCAGTCTCCTTTTCACCAGCTACTTCTCCAGAAGAGGAAAACTATTCATTAGGTCTTTGAAAATAAGGCTAGTCATTACGTTTGTATTTCCCAGTGGTTTTTAGAATGGACTTAAAATTGGCTTTGCATGACATTTGATACTAATTCCTATCAGGTACTCATTTATAATGTATCATTATTAGTTAATTACGGATATATGAGTCTTTTTACTTTGCTGACATGCTGAAAAGTTGTATTCTTTAACTTTTTGAGAAGCAAGTGAACTTTTACTGAAATCAGTTTTACATTTAACAAGTCATATACTTAATTTTAGGAGTCCTGGTGTGGTGCTGTGGGTTAATGTGCCAGACTGCAAAGCTGTTTGAACTGCAGGGTCTGCGGTTCAAGCTCACCAGCTGCTCCTCGGAAACCCTATCCAGGGTCACTATGGGCTGGAACTGACTCAACGACACTTGACAACAACAATACTTCATTTTATTACAGTGATTCCAATCCCCTCCATGAACCATCAGAAAACACTAATTACGTCTATTCACTTTATGCTTGCATTCTTTCCTGGTTTTGCTTTCATGTTTCCTTTGCAAACCACATTCTTGTTGAATACTGCCTTCCCCATCACCAAGTTAACAAGTGTCTACCCGCTAGACTGAATAATTTTCCCTTCTCTCCCACCCCTGGTTACCATCATAGAATGTTTATCAAGAAAAGCTTTTATGACTCAGTTGTAATTGTCAGCAGGATTAACTGTGATTGTCACAACTGTAATTGTACAAGATGTTTAACTAAAAGGGGAAAGGAGTTAATCTTTCATTTCAGGAACAGAGGATCCCAGGACAGGAGGCTAGATGGCAGACTGTGCCCTTTAGACATTTAAGTAAATATATATGTCTTCTAAGTGTACGTCAAATAGAATAGACAGCCACAAAGAGGAAGCAGCATCACTGTTGTTGTAGGGAGGTGATTCTAATCTTTAGATGAAACAAAGTGTATAATTTTCTGAATGTAAAGCTGATGATCTTTTTATAAAACTTTCACCCAATTCACAATAAAAAAGTAAAACAACAAAAACACCACTAAAAGTACCCAGATTATAGATTGGTCAATCTTTGGAGATCAAAAGGGAGCATTTACCCAAGAAAACAGCTCAGAAAGGTTTGGAAAGGAGCAACAGAAATGAGAAAGGGAAGGAGGAGGTGGATAAATCACACTGACCAGATTGGAAAACTGGTAATCTGCTCTGTAAACCTTGACACAATTCACAACAAAAAACGGGGCAAAAAAAAAAAAAAAAAAGGAAACCATTTCTTCTTAACTGTTTACAAACTTGGTGTCACACCATATTTGTTATTTTCGGATCAACTATTTTCACTTAGCTGAACATTTTAACCAAATTATTTCTGTTATCAAATTTATGAGAAAAAACCCCCACAAAACACCTGATAGCTGTTCTTTTAATTAAATCTGAGACTTGCAGGCTCACAGATAGAAACAATATTTTCAGTGGTCTGTTGACCCAGAATCCATATTTGGCACAAGGATCCTGTTAACTAAATCAAGACTCCCAAACGCATATATAAAAACTAACAGTTTTCAGTGTTCTGTTGTCTAAACTGCATTCTTGACTACATAAAATGTTGAGGCAGGGAACAATGGAGCACATCCAGTCACAGCGTCTCCACATGAAGGTCTCCCACTTGTCTGACATGGAGGTGACCAACACCTGCACTTTCTAGAACCCTGCCTTCAAAGACCTCAGCCAATCCAGCCCTGGCTACCTAAGGGAAGAGGGACAGGAAAGAATGAAGATCAAATGGGTCAGGACTTGAAATTGCCCAAGGGAGTGCGCTGCAGCCCAGCACATCACCTGTCACCCCTGCTGTTGTTACAGGACTGGCTAAGGGCGGATCAGGGTGAAGCTGGTGGTACAGGAAAGCTGAAGCTGAAACCAGTCATTACCACTGATGAGCAGGCTGCCATCCATATAAGCCTCCCAGTCCCCACCTTCCTCACTACCATGACTCCATGTTCTGAATTATTGTTGTTAGGTGCCATCCAGTCGGTACTGACTTTCTTTCTCAGAAACCGTGTGCAGGGTTGCTATGAGTTGGAGCTGACTCCATGGCACATAACCATCACCACCAAGCAGAATTCAAAAAACTGACTTAAAGAATTAATGATGGCAGAATTCTAATATGAGAGCATATAGGATGGGCTAGAAAAAAACAAAAGAAATACTGAATGTGGTCTAGTGTTAAGTATTAAAAGACAGTGAGGACTGAAGGAACATGGAGGGACATGTTGTTGTTAGGTGCCATCGAGTAGGTACTGACTCATAGCAACCTTATGCACAGCAGAACGAAACACTGCTCCAACCTCACTATCATTGCCATGTTTGAGCACATTGATGCTGCCACTTTGCCAATGTAACTCTTTGGGGGGTCTTCCTCTTTTTCTCGGAACCTCCAGCTTACCAAACATGATATCCTTCTTCAGCAACTGGTTCTGAATTAGGAAAGAAAAATTTCACACCAAGAAAAGGATAACAAAGTCTAATTTCTACTGGAAGTGTTTATAAAAAACAAAAAGACAGAAATTACAATGAGAAATACCTGAAATTAAATGGTAACTGTTGAAATGATAATTACTTTGTCCATCAGTCTGCAAATTTTTGTATTCCTTTAGTTCAAAAATATTTTAATTTGAGCTGCGAGCCAGAAATGCACCACAGTCTTCACTTCTTCATTAGAGGTGAATTTTGTTCCAGGAAGGGCTGCTTTGAGGCGAGCGGGCGAAAGTCCCATAGAACAAGATCAGGTCTCTAGGGAGGATGCTTTAACACCACAAAAGGAAGGTTTCGCAGTGTCAACTGTGTGGGCAGAGGTTTGTGGACGTGCATTGTGTCATACAAGATGACAATGCCCTAGGATAGCATTCCTCTGTGTTTAATTCATCTGATCAGTAAGTATCTCCCTCGAAGGAGTACTGTTAATTGTTGAACCTTTTCCTGTTAGCATTCTTAAGAATCCCAGAAAAGTGTAAGCATTAATTTTTCAGCTTTTAGTTTAATTTTTTACCAATAAGGATTTTTTTAAAGAATCTTTTACCTTACTTCGAGTATTGGTCCAAATTTGCTGTCCAGATACACTTCTGTTTACGCACTTCCATGAGTTGTTTCGGTACCCATTTTGCACAAACTTTTTGAAGCCTGAGTCAGCTGTGGATTATTTCATAGGCTGAGTTATGGCTGTCTTGATAAGGAATTGCCGAAAAACCCATTGTCACCCATCTATTGAACAGAAGCATTTTTTGTGCACTCTCAGTGCTGTTATCAGTTGAGGACGTGGACACATGCTTTAATCTATCAGAATGTGCATAATTTTTTGACCCACCCTCATAAATGTACATACGCCCTATAGAATTCTACACAACACTGGAGAGTAACAATGAAACTGCAAAACAAGTCACTTAACAGGCCACAACAGGGCTCAACTCCAGACCTACAGAACCCACAGAGCCACAAGACCAGCATGTAACCAGTGACTTAGCCTCCAGCTGCCCCATGGTCCCAAAAGAGATTTCGTAGCAAGCTGCTAAAGATTTGTTTCTGGCTTATAAAGATGTTTACAAGATACAAAACTGCATTGACCTTCTATTTTGAAATACATGAAACATGTTGTCAAATCAGAAAAAGTACCAAATTTTCTGTGAGTTAAAACATGTTTGTCAGTACTGGTGGTTTATGCTAAAAAATAGTATTTGTCTCTCATCCCTTTACTATTGCATTCTTCCCTTGGAAGTGATTACAAGCATGCAATGAAGTCAAGTATGTGATTTGTAGAATGTAAAACTGCTGATCTGCTCTGTAAACCTTCATTCAATTTACAATAAAAACATAAAATTGTCCCGAGTGTGTCCTTTGGTGGTAGACGAAGTGTGGCTTCCAAGCAAATCTTGGTCCACAATCACTAAATATATGGCTTTTCCTCGAGTGTGTCCTTTGGTGGCAAAACAAGTTGGACTTCTGAGCAAATCCTGAGCCACACTCACTGCAAACATACGGCTTTTCCCCTGAGTGTGTCATCTGGGGGCACAACAAGGTTGATTTCAGAGAAAATCTTCAGCCACACTCACTGCAAACGTACGGTTTTTCCCGAGTGTATCCTTTGGTGGCACAACAAAGATGACTTCAGAGAAAATCTCTGGCCACACTCACTGCAAACATATGGCTTTTCCCCTGAGTGTGTCCTCCGGTGACAGAGTAAACCTGACTTCCGAGCAAATCCTCGGCCACACTCACTGCAAACATATGGTTTTTCTCCTGAGTGTGTCCTTTGGTGGTAGAACAAGGTTGACTTCCGAGCAAACCCGCGGCCACACTCACTGCAAACATACGGCTTTTCCCCAGAGTGTGTGCTTTGGTGGCAGAGCAAGTGTGTCTTCTGGGCGAAATCTCGGCCACACTCACGGCAAACATAGGGCTTCTCCCCTGAGTGTGTCCTTTGGTGGCAGAGCAACTGTGTCTTCTTAGTAAACCCTCGGCCACAGTCATTGCAAACATAGGGCTTTTCTCCTGAGTGTGTCCTCCGGTGGCAGAACAAGCCTGACTTCTGAGCAAACCTTCGGCCACACTCATTGCAAACGTATGGCTTTTCTCCTGTGTGTGTCCTTTGGTGGCCCAACAAAGTTGACTTATGAGCAAATCCTCGGCCACACTCACGGCAAAGATACGGCTTTTCCCCTGAGTGTGTCCTCTGGTGGCAGAGGAAGGCTGACTTCTGCGCAAACCCTCGACCACACTCCCGACAAACAAAAGGCTTCTCCCCTGTGTGTGTCCTCTGGTGCTGGAGAAGTTTTGATTTCCAGTTAAAACCTCGGCCACACTCACTACAGATATGCGGATGTCCCCAAAAGATGGACCTCTGGTTTGTGATGAAGTTTGATTTCAGGCCACACTCTGCTCCATCCTGCCTAGAGCTGATTGCTCCAAATCTTCCGGTTTCTAATTCCATCAGTGCTTTATCTGTTTCCACAGACATCACCCTCTGGGTTGAGTTGGGCTTTACAGCCACACCAATGTGGCCTTCTCTCAGCCAGGACGATGCTCTTTGGTATAGGTTACAGAACGCCCATGGTCTCTCTGCCTCCACTCTGGGGAAGTCTTCTCTTTCCTGACCGTCTGTGTTTTCTTTCCAGAACCTCTGATCAGAATCCTGCTCGTCAGGCTGCTTCTGAGACCCTGGTCTGGAAGACGCTGAATGGAAGGGACACACTGCACGTAAGTCTGGAGAGCTCTGAAGTACATCTTGGCTGAGAATTTGCTGACAGGAGAAAGCCAGGAGGCAGGAGAAACCGCTATAGGTTTCTGGCTTTGGTTCTGCGGAAAAAAAACACAAAATTTTCATTAGAGCAGCCAAGATTGGACACAACTGTGATCCGGAAACCACTCCATGGCACTTAACAATATTAAAAACAATGGAGACTTGATGTAGGACTCTAGGATTTGCATTTAGGACTTTAATCAATGTTGACTTCCTTTTAGCAGATAGATCTTTAGCATATGGATCTTGTTTCATTTCTCTGCGACTGGATTTCCAATTCTGTCAACACCATTTGATGATGCGACCAGACCCTCTGTCTCCCAATTTACATATTTGGCCGTCTGTCAAAGATGAGCTGACCATATGTAGATGGATTAACTTCTGGTTTCTCAATCCTATTCTAATCATCTATGGCATTAATCAGTGCATCTTTGGCAAAGTTGATAATGTTATAAGGTGTTGCAAAGATTAACAGTTTTTCATTGAAGAATATTGATAAATCTGTAAAACACAACACTAAATGGTTGAACCTGGAGGATATTATACTGAATGAAATTAGTCAGTTACAAAAGGACAAATGTATGAGACCAAGGTTTTAAGAAAAGGTTATCTTGATAACAATCATTACTGGTTACAGCATGCTCTGAGAAAGTAAATATTCACAAGCCAGAGAGTTGCCACATGTTAGTATGGGTGACGGGAAAGGTAATATACAAGAATGAGGTTAGCAGAGGAAATGAAGATGGTGGAGACACAGGGAGGAATGCAAGAGTTAAAGTGAATGGAGGTAATTATTCTGAACTGTTGGTACATGCAGGTGATAGGAACCATGCAATGAAGCAAAGTACATGATTTGCTGACTGTAAAGCTGATGATCGGCTCTGTAACCTTCCCTTAATTCACAATAGAAATTGCAAAAAAAAAAAAAAAAAAGATTCGTAATTTCATATTGCTTTAAAGTATTCCAGTGAGGGAATGTATGAAAATGTGTCCATGTACTCTTCTAATGATGGGCATTTAGGATGCTTCTATGTTTGAAGTGAACATATACCAATCTGTGTGACGACTCTTCTTTATCTAGGATATATCCCAAGTAGAGTGATTCCTGAGTTAAGAGGTATAATTCCAACTTTTTCAGGAAACTTACACACACACAGCATACATACATATAAACATGTTTTCCTTCTCTAGAGATACCACTATCAAATATGTATTCCCAGTGTATGGGTTCTGTATTTTCACTTTTGGTGACCTTTGAGATACACGTTTCTAAGTTTTAGGAGGTGTCTATTGACTAGTCTGTGTCCTGCTTTTTGTGTGCTTTCAGTAATTTTCATAGGGTATTTATGCCACACATGACAGCCCTATGTTTGCCACTATCTCTTCATTAATAATCTGTATTGTTCTGGGTTTTACATTTATGTCTACAATCTTGAGTTCATTTTTATATATGGAGTGAGCTATGGGACTGATTTACTTCTTCTGCAAATGGGTATCAGTTTTGCCAGCATCCTATGTCATAGAGAATATCTTCTCATTAAATAATGGGTTTTTTTTTTTTTTTTTAAGTTTTTATTGTGGATTGAGAGAACGTTTACAAGGCATATCATCAGTTTTACATTCAACAAAACATACACCTTGTTTCATTACATTGATTATAATCCCCTCCATGTACCATCAGTTAACAGTATTTCTCTCTATCCACTTTAGCTTTTTAAAAAACAAACAAACGAAAAAACCCACTCTGGCATCTATAATAATTAAATAATGTGTTTTGTTGCCATTTGAAAGATCAGTTACCTGTATGTAGATTGGATCTACCTCTAGGTTTTCAATTTTGTTCATTGGTCAATGTGTCCACCTTGGTACTAACACCATGCTATTGTGACTCCTTTGAATGGATAGTAGGTTTTCAGATATTTTTGACCTTAATTTCATTTTTCCAAGAACTTTTTGCAGTCCTTTAGTATATAAGATTCACTGATGTCTGTCTCCTTAGGTAGGTCCTAAGTATTACATCTAATAATAGGTTCTCAATGTCTAGAATACTATCTGGTCCTCAGTGAAAACAAAACAAAGAAACTCATGGACATATATTTGATTCCACCTCATGCTCAACTCACGTGCTCCAGAATAGAATTGCCATACAGCCAAAAAATATATAAATGTTGCTGTGAGGTTGATGTGACTCATACAACCTGACAGGACAGAGTAGAGTAGAATTCCAACTGAGGGAACAGAAGGCTATAAATTTCTCTGGAATCACATGGCCACATCTATCTCTTGCAGACAATTGGGTTCAAAGCACTAACTTTTCATTTAGCAGCAACCATGCTTACTTGGAGCCCTGGTGTGGCGCTGTGGGTTAATGTGACAGACTACAAAGCCGTTTGAACTACAAAGTCGGCGGTTCAAGCTCACCAGCTGCTCCTCGGAAACCCTATACAGGGTCGCTATGGGTCAGAACCTGAGTCGACGTCACTTAACAACAACATACTAAATTAGCAGGCCTACAGGGCTCCTTGGGCCAATTTGTTGTTGTTGTTGTTATGTGCCAAGAAGTCAGTTCTGAATCATACTTTAGAGTCTGTGTAGCGTCTCTGGAACAAGGTGGTGGGTCTGGACTGCAAACACTGAGGTTCAGTGCATTATCCTGAAGTGCCGCACCAGGTCTCCCCCTGGGCACACAGCAAGGGCCAACAAGTATTTGCTGAGTTCATGAATGAAAAGAAGACAGCATATCCTCACCCAATGAAAGAAGATTCTGGTAGATCTCAATCATCACTTCTTTGTAGAGGTTCTTCTGCTCAAAACTCAGTCTCTTCCACTCGGCCTCTGTGAAGACCACGGTGACATCCTCCAATGTAACTGGTTCCTAGAACAAGTGATAAACCAATACACAGCAAGTCAGCATCACTTTTTCCAATGTGAGGAGTTCACTGGTGACCAAGAAGAGTGTGGAGCTTACTAAGTTCATTTAATTCTTTTCAGAAAGCAAGTTCTTCTCGACAAGGCTTGGGACCCACCTGTGCAAGAAAATCTCTGGATACCATCAATGATTTATAAAACACAACCTATGTTCTCCCATGTAAACTATCACATAATTCACAATAAAACATTTAAAAATAATAAAATAAATAAAAAAGGAAGTCACCAGAAAATAAAACCACACACAACCTGACGCTCAAACATGTGTGATCTTAATGAAGCAAGGATTTGCAAATTAACGAGAGCAGTAAGCAGAATTCAAAAAACATGACTTACAGAATTCATGACATAAGAATTTTAATAAAGGAGCATAGAGTATGGAATAGAAAAGAACAAAGGAAATACTGCATGTGGTCTAGTCGTAAGTATCAATGACTAGTGAAGACGGAAAGAACAAGGAGGGCAGCTTCAACTATAGGAAATGCGACAGTAAACATGTCACTTCTGGACGAAATACTTCTGTCAAGTTCTGGTAACTATTCTGGTGGCCTTTTAAGTGATTTTAATTCCCTTTTAAAATAAAGTCCTTAACATTTCACTCAACACGCAGAGTACTAATTCATCTATGTAAAAACAGTGAGCAAGAGAATGTAATATTCCATTACAATGATATTTACAGGCAGTATCTGCACTATGGTTCATGTCACCTAGTGCACGAGCATTTTCTTCACCTCCCATCTATGTGTAACAGCCACCAAAACTCACAAAACTGAGTCACCAGCTGCTACCAAAAAAGGCCAAGCTCTTAGATGCAGAAAACTACCAGTCCAAAGTCCACTCCGATGGATCTTTGCAGATCCTATTTATCAAGGTTGAGGCCTACCTGTCCACCCAATGCTAGGTGCTGTGTGCTACCAGCCCACATACTGATTGGAGATGAGAGGTGATGGGTTAACGCAATGGGTAATGAGTGACACAAATCCTAGTAATACCACTGTTAAAGATAACTGAAGTCTTTTAAAACAACAACAAATATCACAACCTATTACCATGAACTCAATTCTGATTCAAAGCACCTCTATATGGCAAGAGTAGAATTACTCCATAGGGTTCCCTAGGCTAAATCTTTCTGAAGCAAGCTTCTGTAAATCTTGTTCCTGCAAGGAATTGTGACTCACTGGTATTTTGGGCTTCCTCTTCTCTTGATTGCAGTCAATATCTTTAAAAGACAAACCTACATGAAGAAAGACAAACTCTGAAACCAAATCACACCTCCCACAATGCTCCCCATGAGGTCTTCTGAGCAGGAGATGGAAGGAAGTAGCTACTTGCTTAACCTGTACCCACCAACATATTCTCACCAAAACATGGAGCTTTGGTCCCCTATTACACTCACCTTTGGCCTGTTCTGTTTGAATCCATTTCTTCCTGGTCTCCATATCGTCCTTGTCTTTTGAAGCTAAATCTTCCACAATCCTGCTCATCTGGGACAGAAGCAGAAGAATCGGGCAGAACAATGGCCCCACCCTCATTACAGGGGCCATCTTTAGAAACTATGTTAGACTCTAGATTGGGACAGCATTATAGCTAAAGATTGCTTTGAGTAGTGTGGCCGTTTTTACGATGTTACGCCTTCCTATCCATAAGTAGTCTATATGCCTCCATTTCTGTAGGTCTTTTTGGTTTCTTGCAGTAATGTATTATAATTACCCTTGAATAGTTCATAGGATAGTGCCTTGGTACCCCTTTTATATTCATAGTATTTGGAATCATAAGGGCTAAATAAACAAGCTGCAATCCACAATCGTACATGCAATTCCCTACAGAGGTAAGTCCTCTTCCATTCCCGGTCAATAAGGTGATAAAAAATATTCTCTATCAAATTCCTTGATCCAAAGGAGGGAATGTATGAGGAATTTAAAAATTAGAGTGCGCAATCAATCAGTCTCCACAACTCCGAGACCAGAAGAAATAGATGGGGTCTGCTTACTACTGCCAGCTGCAGAATATGTGGAATCGATTTCTAACTTATTTTTGTTGTTGTTATACACCTTGCTATTTTATTGATGTATGATTAACATACCATAAATTCCACCCCTTTAAAGGATACAATTCAGTGATGTTTAATATAGATTCACAAGATTGTACAACCATCACTATTATCTGATTCCAAAACATTTTCATCACCCAAAAATGAAATCCTGTACATGTTAGTTGTTGTTGTTAAGTACCATTGAGTTGGTTTAGACACAAACGATACTGTATAAGGTTTCCAAGGAGTGGCTCGTGGGTTTGAACCGCCAAGCTTATGGTTAACACTCCAGTGGTTATTCTACAGCGCCACACCAGGACTCCTCCCTGCTGCCCCCTCCAGCGCGGGCAACTACTAATCTACTTTATATCTTTATGGTTTTACTTTTTCTGTACATTTTAATAAATAAAATCATCCATTATATGGTCTTTGTGACTGTCTTCTTTTATTTAGCATAATACCTTCAAGTGTTTTAAGCCATGTGGTTGTTAGTTGCTGTCGAGTTGGTTCCAACTCATAGCTGCCCTGTATAGCATTCCCAAGGAGCGGCTGGTTCATTTGAACCCCCGACCCTCTGGTTCAACCCCGTTTGTGGTCCAATGCATTATCTCATAACACCACACCAGGATTCCATGATTTAGTAACCTTTCCTCTATGGACATACTAGTTTGTTTATCCATTTATCAGCTGATGAATATTTCGGTTTTTTGTATTTTTTCTCTGTTGAATAATGTTGCTACAGACATTTGTATATAAATCTTTGTTTGAACATATTTTCAGGATTCTTCTGGGTATATACCTAGGACTGGAATTAAGGTCAGATGGTAATTGTGAGTTGTCAGATTGTTTTCCATAGCAGCTGCACCATTTTACATTCCCACTAGCAAACTATGAAGGTTTCAAATTCTCCACATCCTTGTCAACACTTATTATCTGTGTATTTTCCCTAGCCATTTTAGTGGGTATGAAGTTTATTCATGATGCTGAGCACATTTTTATGTGCATATTGACCATTTGTCTATCTTTTTGAAGAAATGCATATTTTGACCATTTAAAATTGGGTTCTATGATTTCCTGTTAATTGATTTGTAAGAGTTCTTTATGTGTCTTGAATACTAGTCCTTCATTAGGTTCATGATTTGCAAATGTTTTCTCCCCCTTTTTTTTTTCACTTTCATGATTGTGTCGCTTAAAACAAAAGTTTAAGAAACTGGGATGAAATCCAATTTACCTATTTTTTCTTTGGTTGGTGATGTTTTTGGCCACACCTTAGAGACATGATAGATTCATTCAAATGTCAAGAATGATGACACCAACATCCACACCCCAAAAAGGTATTAATAGGTTTATTTATGTAGTGAGGCTTTGGGGGAAGAACAGAGCAGGCTTTTCAAGCTGGTCCATGGATGACTTAAGGGAGCAAGGAAAGGAAACTGTCTTGCAACATTTATCGTGGCAGGAGGTTTAGAACACCCACACTTGCAGATAATACCCACTTGACATGGCTTCAATGACTGGATGATCAGAGCTCAACTAGAAGAAAGAAGAGGAAAAAAAGAGTAATCTGATACAATTTGATGAACCTGACCTACACCTATGGGTGCAGTAGTTCAAAAGAGGGATCAAATCTTCACAGTGAGGCTCATTCCCACCCCTCCATACAGAGTAGACAGGGATGGGCAACTTGGACATTGGCTACCCAAAATGTGGGGGCTACAAAGGCAAGTGACTGGCTTACAAGCTTACAAGAGGGAGCCTAGATCCAGAGGGCGCGGAGGAGGGTAGAATCTCCACTGAGTAGCATCCAATATGTCTAGGCAGGGCTGATGAAAGGAAATGCGGATAAGTCTCTTGTGATACAATAGTGAATACTTGTTATCAGGACTGATTTTGAGGGTTGGAAATGTAAAGATAGACGTTTTGTAGCAAGGAGGGGAGTGATTAACTTTTCAGTCTAGGAGCAGAGGTCCCTGGGACCATCAAGGGAGAACAGTGGAGAGCGGGACCCCACCCAGAGAAGCAGTGATGCCAGAGATGGAGGCAGAGATGATGACATGGAGAGATGGAGCGGCTGAGGACTCTAGATCCAGAGAGGGAGAGGGGCTGTGTGCTGACAACCAGGGGGCAGGCTTGCAGGGTATACCCCTGGAGGGGATTGTAACCATGGCAATGAAATGATATACGATAGGATGAATGTAAAACTAATGTTCTCCCATGTAAACTATCACATAATTCACAATAAAACATTAAAAAAAATTTTTTTAAAGATGGAAGAAATATACAGTTACTGTACCAAAAAGAGATGATCCAGCAGTCTGAATGGCTACTACAGCAACAAGCAAGTTCACTGGGGAGCCATCAAGGCACTCCAGGACAAACCCTCCTCCAAGACTGAAACTGCTCATAGGTAACACATGAGCAGGCATGTAAGCTTGCTGGAGACCACATTGGTTTACTGGTGTGTGGAAGTGAGGGAAAGGCAAAAATGAGGATAGGGGCTGAGTTTGATCACATTCCAAAGACCACGGCCAACATGGAGAGGAGAGAGAGAAGAGAAAGGGCTGGCTGGTTGGTCCGAAGTATGGTGAGACCTAGGGACTCCTGAGCCCATGGACAAGGACAAAGGCTAGAGCGTCCAGCTGATACAAAGTGAGGGGAGATGTACAAGAACATCCAAACTTGCAGACAGTGCCCATTCCACCTAGCTTCCATAGCTAAGTCACAACCAATGCTAAGGTACTTAACAACAAAACAGCAATGAGCCAGTTTAGTCGCATTTTTTCCTCCAAGATGGGAACACAGGTACACTTAGGGGTGAACCTTCACAACGCAGACCCCAATCTCTCCACCAGACACACTCCTAGCAGCCAAACTTGCTTTCTAGTCTGAATACCAGCCGCAACCTTTCCCTGGGGATCGCGTTCCATAGAGTCAGTCCCCAGTAACCACGCCAGAACTAACCTCCAGGAACCCAAGTGGCTTGAGGATCCATTAGGTTTCCAAAGGTTGTGAGTTATTGTTAAATTGTTTAGCATTGTCTCCTATCCACAACCATGCCTGACTAGCTTTGTTTTTGGAGTCCTGGTGTGGCGCTGTGGGTTAATGCGCAAGACTGCACAGCCTTTTGAACTGCAAGATCCGCCGTTCAAACTCACCAGCTGCTCCTCATAAACCTTATACAAGGTTGCTAAGGGTCAGAATCCACTTGATGGCACTTAACAACAATTACTTCTAGATGAATTAACCCAAAAAGCCATTGTGTCCTTGAAAGCCTATCTAAAATACCTATACACTTAAAGGATGGTAAGGTGGGTGGTATAAAACCACAAACACCCGAGAAGAAGGGAATAATTGAAAAAAAAAAAAAATTGACACCTATCCATAAACAAATAAACCTTGACATGCAAAGCAAATCCTGGCTTTACAACCATGACCCCAAAAATCAAAGCCAAGGAGTACTCCCCACCTTATCCACACACCCAACAACAGGGGACGTTAGTCTATTTGTCCTGGATGGACCTAACCCCACACAACCTCCCAGACTGATTCCAACACTGTTTTAAAAAAGAAATTCCAACATCTGGACCACTGCATCTGCAGCCACAACAGCAGCGTAGAAGGCTTTGTCTTTTCCAATTTCCTTACACTTAGCGAGGCCTGGATGGAGTCCTGGGGTGGTCCTGTGGGTTAATGCGCTGGACTGCAAAGTCGGTTAGAACCGCAAGGTCGGTGGTTCAAGCTCACCAGCTGCTCCTCGAAACCCTTGACGGTCGCTATGAGTCGGAATCGACTCGAACCCAGCGCAGACTCCCAGCCCTCCCCCAGACCCACTCACCAGGCGGCGAAACTCCCTCTTGGGCCCCACCCTTTCATGGTCGCCTGGCCGCGCGGGAAAGGACGCCCTGGGGTCCAGAATCCCTGGGGTCCACGCTCCATCCGCTCACTCCCGCGGAGCTACTCCAGAACTGACCTCCCAGAACCCGCGCGGGCTCCGGAATCCTTCGGTCGTCTCTAATTACTTCTGGGCCACGATGTGAATTAACCCAAAAATCCATTGTGTCTACCTAAATATCCGTACAGAGAGACTCACCAGCCGCTCCTTGGATGCCGTATACCCGGTCGCTATGAATCAGAAAGGACTCAATGGCACTTAACATTACGTCTAATGTGCAGTGCTTGTCAAACAAGTCTCTGTTCGGTAGCCCACCTCACTGACCACTCGAAGAAGACTGTGATGTCACTTCCACAGACAACTTCCGGATTAAAAACTGCTCGCGCGAGGAAACGTTCACATGCGCTTCCTGACGCGTGAAAGGCCCGCCCAAGGAGACGGCTGGGTTTTACAACTTTTTCGACTGAAATGGTATTAAAATCCGTGATCTAAACCATACACGACCTTCATATAGC